TCGTAAGTCAAATGTCGTTTACCGCACTTGTTGCATAATATACTATTTTCTACGACCGTTAGTTTTTGGGTACATTTCCGCAAAACAATACGAATACATTCACTGACATGACCGTCAGAATTGACAAACGTCAAAATTTATAGCGTGGGGGATATCTCCGAAAACATCCGATTGCTCCCAAATCCGTGCGGTAAAATCCCGGAAATGTTCGAAGTGGCTCGGATCCGTGGGAAACGAAACTGACGTCGTAAAGTGACGCTTGGCGCACGCTAGAACGGTGTGTAATTAGGTATTTTACAGACGGGAGTAGAAAAACACATTTTCTGCATATTTTTCACTTGTTTTGTTTTATAATGAAACTAAATTTAAGGAAAAACTTACGACATGAATAAAAAATTAATTGCAAGGTTTATTGAGACACTTTTTTCATGGAATTTAGCGTTTATAAATAAAAAATCATACCCTAAACGTCGAAAAAGAACATTATTTTATAGTCGTTGTAGGAAGAATGATATGGGCAACCTAACTCAAGCGCCAATTGTAAAAAAAGTGAAAGAATACGAAGAAAGCGCTATTATAACAGTAAATAATTCAATAAAATGTCATTGTATCAAAAAATAAGGACTTTATTTTTCCGCAATAGTTATCTCTCTAAAGGTTAAGTTTTAACCCAATATTTTTTGGTTAGTTATTTTTTGGAACACCCTGTGTAGAGCCCAATTTTTTTAAAATTAATACTGAAGATCGCCAAAAGACCTCGTACCCCCAAAAACAATAGGTTAAATGATTGTTTCTTAGAAAATTTAGTTTATTTGGATGTAATTCGAGAACAAGCATTTTTTTTATACCTGATATAAAAAAATCTCCCAAATTCATTAGAATTAGTACGTTTGAAGTACTTGGAGTATTTCCTCCAATAACAATTAACTGATTTTGTTTGCTCGCAGCGGTTGACTAACTTGGAAAATACTAATCATCCTAATCATCGTTTTCTCTTACCTGTTTTAATCTTTTTTTTTCTGACAATATGTGATCGATGGTTTTGCTTGAAAGATCTATGAGACCAATGGTAACTCATACTGAAATTCCTACAAAATTGTTGCAGATATAAACAAACGATTGTGATTGGTGAACTAATTGCTCCAATATTTTTTTTGCGATTAAATTTATTTTGGAATAAAATATTTTTGCATTGCGTATGCTGTCGAACTTCTTGCATGTTAAAATTGAGATTAGAATCGTCCCAACTGTATTAGAATTTAGAACAGGAAACATATTTTTTAAGAACCCACGACAATCGCTAACAAAGACTGAAAGGCAAATATAAAAAGTGATTAAAATTTCAAATAGGATGAAATTTTTATATTTCGTAATTAAATCAAAAACTGCGTTAAACATTGGAAGTAATGATTAATTTTAATTGTCTAAAGAACCTTAATTCTTATTAGCCCAATTAATAACTAACGAAAGTAAGTGCTAAAACTATCTTTACCCATAGAGGTTCAATTTTTGTGTTTAAGTTAATAGCTTATAATTTGTTTCAGGCTCTTCTCATTTTCCACTTTTTAATTTCCATGAGCCCAATATTGCTATGCACTGTATTAGCTACATAAACCATTATCCAAAATTTTTATCGAGATGGAACATTAAGATTAGTTTAGGTAACTTAGGCAATTAGATAAGTGATTGATCGCTGGCTAACAATCAAGTTAATCGTGTTAATTAAATTAAAGTCGATAGGGTGTTACTAATTTAACTTTCAATAGTTAGCCTATTTGTAAATGGGGTATGGCGTTTGCGTTTGACATCGCTCACTTGTTTGCTGCGCCCCCCTCCCCCACCCCCTAACAGGCGCCGCGAAAATTTACACAAAACGCTTTTGAATTTGCATTCGGCTTTGCTTGTGAAAATTGCGAGGGTACTTTTTTGAAACCGTAATTATAAAGTCAATCAAATTAACGAACGTTTGGCGTCGTTTTTTCTCGCACAAAATTTTCGAAAAGTGCAGCAAATCGACGTGAAATCGATAACTGCCGTAACCGGAAAACCTATCAAAAGGAACTTTCTCGTCTTTTTGAGGACATATTTTATTCTATGCTCGCAAAAATTTGTGAATTTAATTACACTACGAGTTATTTTTTAGTTATTTATAACAAATTCTAACTCAAGGGTTTTTAACTCTTTTTCTTTTATGGTACGATAATAACTTTACAAATTAAATTTCTTAAAAATGTACTAACTAATTATTTTGTAAATGTAACAAACAGCTGAAAAAGACTTTTTAGTTAACAAAAAATTCTACATCGCAATTACATTATTTATTTATTCTATTAATTTTTGAACGCGATAACGATGAGTAATGAAAGAAATTGATACAAATTATACTTTGTTTCTTAATGCGAAAGAGTTATACATTGTAAATTTTCAATGAGTGATCATTAAACATGGTCGAAAATTTTAGATAAATTGCAACGATAGTTTTAAAAAAAATCCTTATTCCAGTTTTGAATACCTACACACCTTGAATCACTCATTATTAGAGTCATGTAAATTTTTATACATTGCAGAGCTCAAAAATTTCGCCTTTTTTTGCATATCTTCAGAAGTAGTGTCAGTTTTTTAGTTTTCTCAACAACACCTTTAAATTTTGCATTTTTTTTCTAATTTAACCATCTTCGTATCTCTTATGGTCTCGATTATTCCTATGATAGACATCCTTATCTTGGACACACTGCACTATAACTTCACTAAATTTTAGTCATCATGTTCCAAGTAGTCAGATGAACTATAGTTGTCGGAGTCTAGAAAAATAAAAAAGGACTCTACAGGGTTTTCTAGCTTCCCATATTCTTTCTTTTAATTCAATGACATGTTCGAAGCACTTAAACCATTTTCCACAATCAACTCTCTTTTTTGCCTCTTGCCAGAATGTTTCAAAATACCTCATTTTAAAAGTAGTGTTATACCTTGCTAACAAACCATTTTACTTGAGCCCATACCAATTCTATGGGGTTTAATTCATAGTGATATTTTCGTACAAAGAGGTTTATTCAAACTTGCAATCTGTGGTAGCTCTTTTCGCAGCGTAGCTATCTGAATTTGCGTTTTCATAATTCAATTAATAATGTAGTGGTTTTTTTTCATGAAGAGGTGGGTATTTCTTGGATTTTATTGAATGGTAGCTGGCACTATTTATGACTGTAACAGACCTAGGAGAAATAAGATTTGCTGAAAGTAATGTTCAAAAACAACAACAAGATTACATGAGCGAAGTCTGGCCTTAAATCTACTCATACTTAACCCACATCTAAATACAATACTTTTTAAGTAAATGTAAGCATAAAATTATAACAAAAATATATGATGTACCTGCATCAAAGAAGAACCTTAATATAACGCATAAATTTACACTTGATTTTTATAATTTAGTTATTTCGCCAGGGAAGAAGTAAATGGCTTTTCAAATAAAAGATAATCACTATCACTTCAGTATCACTATCGCTATCATCGCCAGTTCTAATTATTATTTGTTCTATATTATTTGCAATATGGCAAGGTTTTGTATGTTCAAGCTTTGCAGAACCTCAATTAATTGTTTTTTGGTATAATCTTCGTGAAAATAAATGTCGTTACCATACATGTAGTTTTGGATTGTTGCTTTTGTGTGACATGAGGAAGGGGTTTTAGTCAACTGTCTACTGTGATAACTTGCATTGTCCATTACAATGACGCTATTAGGATGAATGTTTGGAACTAGTTTGTTTTTAAACCAACTTTCAAATAAATCAGCGGTGGTCATGGTCATCCAGACAAGAATCTTTAATATTTTTCGCAGACAGAAAAAGTCCATTTGGAATCCAACCATCTTTAGAGCCAGCATGCAAAATAGTTATTCCTTTACCTCTTTTTGATGGCGCGTTTGTTTTACACTTATCAGTTGAGTCAACCCAACCCTTTTCCGGGGTATCATAAGTGTCGAATCAGGTTTCATCCAAGTAAATAATTGGCCATTTCCGAAATCTAAAGGATTCCATTAAAACTTGCCTTTTGTCAATTTTTTTAAATCTAAAACACATGTGTTGAATTCACCTCCATAAGGTAGTTCTGCCACATTTAACACCGGTTTCATGTTTTTCAAGCCTCCTAATTAAGATATCTAATGTAGGAACGCTTTGTTCCTCGTTTAACTGGTAAATTTTACGCCCTATTATATCTTGATCACTTTCATCTACACTCGAGAAAATGTCAGCATCGCTTCTTTTTTTCCTCGCTGAAATGGGATTATTCACAATTTTCCATACAGTTGATGTTGGAATTTTCGTCAATGTGGCCGTTTCTTCTAACGATGCTTGCTTGCTGGCACCACGTTCAAATGAGAGTCAAATAAACATTGTTTATAACTTCCTTAGTCTCAATAGAATAGTGTTTTCTACATTTGGGCGGGAGCATCTTCTGAGATACACTAGACTCGCACATATTTTGCATAATTCGCACACGATTCAACACACGTTGTATTACACACGAAATAAGAATGATTACTATTAAACTTAAACAAGGTAGTATACCAAACCACAGAATATTAAACACATGTAGGTATAAAATTATTTTCTATTACGGACCACAATTTTACCTGAATTTAAATTCCGAAACTTTAATGACCACCTTTGGATAATCCGATTCAAAAGCAATTGATCACTTGATCCTAATAAAATCTTTAAAATGTAGTAGCACAAGCCTAAAACATAATATATTTACCTTCACATTTCAGACCGTAATAACGCAACCCGCCATTCAAATTAAATCGTTTGACAATAACGGTTTTATGCATTTCCGTTCGATGTAACGTTAAGTATTCAATTTTGCGTTTCCGTTTCAAATATTCAATTATGGCGACATCGTTAAATTCGCGTGTTTCGGATGACGGCCTGGCGAAATGATACACAAACTTCTTGCGAAAAGCTTTCCAGTTTGAAGGTTGCCCGATATTTTTTTCGTTTCAGGTAAAAATCCACCGCCGATGTGCATTCGTCTGCCCCGTTTCCGATTCATTAAGTTCTGTGTGCAATTCTCGAATATCTACATCGCCAATAGGAATATTCACCTGTGCATTGATGCCGAAGCAAACTGGGAAGACATCACTTTAGTCGAATGGTCCTTCGATTGTGTCAGAATGGGAGTCTCGGGGGTGGCGGTCGTGGCTCCGGAAGACGGGGGTGGCATTCCGGGCAACCCTCTCGACGCCATCGACCAGACTAATGAAGATTATGACGACAGTGCCCGAGAAAATCCGATCGCTTTAAACCGCGCCAAGTTTGGGGTTTCTAAGAAAATCATATTTCATCGTAGCCTGTACCGTATTCAAAATAAATCTCCGGACAGGAGCCTGATATCAATAAAACGCTTTAGGAACGGCGATTATTTCGTCGCCTATCTCGGGAAAGATTGATAAACGTTAGAACTTATTATTTGTTTTTCTAGTCATGGCAAAGTAAATTAATGATATCAACATTAAATTAGTTTTTATTGTAGTAATTAAATCAAGAGACTCATGTGAATTACGTGTCCATTTTTATTTTAGAAATATTTGGCATTGCTAGAGTTGGTACACCAAATACTAAACAACTTTTTTTAATCCAACTCTAATCCATATTTTAGAGAAATTAATCATTTAATATTATCGATTAAGAAAATCGGAATAAATAAAATTTAACATATAACTCTGCAAAAATTGCAGTAATTAACTATTCATAATAATCATGGAGTAACAAAAATTTTGATTAGAGAAATTTTAGAATGATAAAAACTTTATTTTGTTAACGCAATATTCTGAGTGTACAGGGTGTCCAGCGTAAGATGATGTATATGGGAATATCGGAAACTGAAAGCGATACGGCGTCGCTTAAATGCCAAAAAATAATTTAGATTTGTTTTATTTTAAATCGACAACCTTACAGGGTGAAAAAGGAAAATGTCCAATTTTGAAAAACCACAATATTTTCAGGTTATAGGAGATGCTTAAATTGCGTCAAGAAATTTAGGCCTGCTTATGTGGCATGCGGCCGAATTTCTACATTTAGCAAATCCTCTTTAAAAATTCTTTTCAACCAAGTGTTATGTTTGGTCAAGATAAATCCGGAAAAATAACAAAAATAAGATTTCGAGACAGTAGGCTTTGATATCGGCAAGTTTATTTTCGACCAAGTTGGTCATGCCAGCGTGTCCCAGGTGATTATTGTGGCACCAATGCCGTCAGAGTTCTCGATGATATTTAAAATTTTGGTAACCTTTTTAAAAACCTCACTTCTGGAGATATTTCAGCATATTTAGTAATTAATAGAGCATTCCATTTAAAATAAAATTATTATGATCGGTAACGTAAAAGTATTAAATTGGATAACATTGCTGTTAGCATTTTTGAATTATGCATGTTCAAAAACCCAAAGGTATTGAATTTTATCGTTCCAGTTTTGGCAGTTTTGAAGATATTGCATGCATTGCAGCCCTTTTTACTAACCCGGTATTCTTTCTGATAGACCAAAACATTCTCCATAAATATGGGAAATGTATACTTATGTCGACAACAATAATTATAATAAGAAATAAACTATAAATATAAATATAATGTAAAGATACTCTTATTTTAAAAACTATCCTCTATTATAATATATTTAAAATGACATTTTTCCAGCATAATGTGGAGGACTGTATGACAATATTAAACTTAGTTTACATAGCTATTTTCCAAAACAAGCACAGCATTTTTTTTTCAGTTCCCTAATTTCTTCAAATAATGGACAGTATTCAGTATACTCTATACTTAGCCAAATTTAATACTAAATGATGATGATTCTAAACATATTATAGTGTTTCCACTCTTTGCAATGCACAGTATATTGTAATATGCTAGTAAACGTACAAATTGTTGAAAACAATTCATCAACCCTGTCCGTCAAACGAAAAAGAAGAACATTAACAAAAATTTCAGGTTCGTACTTATCCACGGATCAGGTGCATTGTAAAATATTAAATGAAACATTTATCTTGGTCATTATTCCTAATGACCGAGAATGCTGACCTAAATATAGACATATACCTCGTATTTCCATTCAACGAAAGAAAAAGAATGTAAATTTTGCTTAGACTTTAATACCGACATTTTTAAATTCAATTAATTTAAACAAATGAATTGCTTTCGTCATCTTGCAAAATCTAGTTCCGTTCTTAAAATTTTCCAAACATTCTCCGGTTCTTTTCGCATCTTGAGAAATAAGAAGTAATTCAAAAAACATAGTAAAATATCGTTTAAACCTAGTTAAGAATATTAAAGTAAAAAATCCACCAAATTTGGAAACTCGCTAGCCATTCGACTGGCTTAAATTGTCTTAAACGAGGGTTAACAAATTTCCAACTTAACAAACCAGTATAATAAATGGTAATTTTATGGACGTATTTTCGCCGGAATTACATACTTAGTACAGGCCTGTGTTGGCAAATTTATAGGTTCCTTAAAAGATTTTACCATTGAACTCGGATAACTTCATTTAAGCGTAATAAATTTTCAATAAAGATTTTCGCAAGAGATTATCGAGAAAATGGTCAGCGATTAATTAGCTTTTTAAAAATGTTTAATTAAAATTTTGTAATCTAAGAGCGCGCGCGATTGTTTTTACTTTTATTCTGGAATAGAAAGTATTCTTATGGACACATTTTGCCAGCGTAATAATTTAGTACGTAAATTTGTTTAATTAAACAAATCTATTTTCTCAACTCAAAACGCATCAAATCAAAATTAATCGGGCGTCATAATTTAACTTGATGGAACTATTACTTCGTCGTCAATGTGAATTTTTATCGATAGCTCGTTAAAACTTTCCAGTTTATTTCCCATTTAATCTAACTTCCGGCAATAACAATTTACCAATATTAAAACGACTGGCTATACCGAGTGTTAAAATGGACCTTTTCTCCTTTACTCTGAGATATTATGTTCTTCATAGGAACTAATACGAAGACTCAACAGATTCCGAAACTTTGTGACTGTGGTGGAATAATATCGTCACACTAGCTTTAAATTCTCAAATAAAGTAGACGTTAGCAACGTACATAAAATACTTGTAAAATTTTGCAAGAAGTGCAGTCTAATTTGTGCCTAGTTCGCAAAAGTTAACTGCTAACACCTCTTTAATTTTTTCGGATATACTCTAGATAAAACAAGTATATATCGCAAACCGTAAATAAGTCAAATAAAAAGTATAAAAACGTAATATGCAATGTAAAAAACATCGATGGGCTAAAGATTAAATAAAAATATGAAACATTTGTTACATTGTTCTATAGGTAAGGGTGTAAACTCTATAGGTAAGTAGAAAACGGCTTCCTCATCTCGACCCACTAAAACTCGTTAATTGCGTTAAAGAACAATATTGGCTGCTTTTTGGAGAAAGTAGGGAAGGGATTAAATGAAGAGATTTATAATAAGAACTATTTTTTTTTAAATCAAATTTATTATTAACCTCAAACGCTACTGCCGTATGAAGGCGTGAACTTTTTAATTTCTAATCACTTTATCCTGCCATTCGAAGGAGTTATTTTGGAGGCCAATGAGTCGACACCGACAGCCGCTATTAATTATTTGATTTTAACACTAGTGTGTACTATTATTTAACTCTGCATGTGCAATTTTCCGACCACGATATTAATTTAATTAATAATTCCGTGTGCTTCGAAACCTTTAAAATGAATATGGGTACCGCAATACATCCCGTACATTTCCTGACCCTTATTGTGTTCTATCGATCGCTCTTTGAAAGTAAAAATCTACAACATAATGTTAACAGAGACGTCAAATCAAAGTTTTCTATATTATCCCTGGTCTAATTAAACCCCATAAAAAGTTTTCGTTTCTTGGGGAACTGTATACCGTTTACAGAGAAAAGGAAGAATACGATTTTTTCACAAAATGTCTTTTAAATTCCCAAAATTCCGTATATTAGTGCCAATTTATTTGAGAACCATCTGCCATCTACTACTTTAAAACAAATTATTACAAAATGGCCTGTGGAAAATAAGTGCTGAACATGATATTTTTTTGTGCAACCTCCAACAATTAACAAAATAGAAAACATACGAAATCAAATCAAAGTTTTCTATATTATTCGTGGTCCAATTAAAACCCATAAAAAGTTTTCGTTTCTTGGGAACTCTATGTCGTTTACAGAGAAAAGGGAGAATAAGATTTTTTTCACAAAATTTCTTTTAAATTCCCAAAATTCCGTATATTAGTGCCAATTTATTTGAGAATCATCTACCATTTACTACTTTAAAACAAATTATTACAAAAAGACCTGTGGAAAATAAGTGCCGAACATCATATTTTTTTGTGCAACGTCCAACACTTAACAAAATAGAAAACATACGGAGTGTGTAGTGACTTTTAAGTTTTATCAAACGGTATTTATTTATTCATCAAAATTAATGTCATCCCCTTCCAAGTAATCCCCTCATACACATTCACTTGTGCCAACGTTGTTTCCAATCCTCGAAGCACTTCTGGTAAGCACTTTCTGGTATAGCCTTAAGTTCTTCCAGCGATTTTTGCTTTATCTCCTCAAGCGTTCCAAAACTCCTTTTTATGGGTTTCTTGAGTTTTGGGAACTGGAAAAAGTCACATGGGGTCATATACGGTTAATGTGGTGTTTTTGTGTAATTTGTGTTTTTGGCCAAAAAGTTAAACACAAGCAACGATGAGTGAGCTGGTGTATTATCGTGATGCAACGCTTTTTTTTAAGTGTATTGCAGCACTGTATTCCATTTTTGTTCCATTTTTTTGACACCAGAAAATTGCCTAGCACACGAAACCGTCTAACCCTGCTGTTTCACAAAAAAAAACACAAAACAAAACAAAACTATGTAACCAGACCAATTACGAAAGTCGCCTTACTTTTTGAACACACCTCGTACATACGAAAAATTGTACCCATTACATTATTTGCATATGTTTATTACTCTTTTACACTATGGTGACAGGCGGTGTAAACTGTAAAGTGACAAGTAAGAATAATAATTATTATTAAGGTTTATGCGGTTGTAAGTATTATTATGCTCAAGTATTTACTAAGTCGATTAAGCGGACAATCGATTAAGAGTATAAAAAGCTACCTACTACCTACCTAACTACTTAAACAACCGTAATTAAATCAAAATTTGACAAACACATTTCATATGACTGTGACGAAAAGCAAGCGTGACTACTACATTTCGAGTCGTTGTTCTAATACGGTTAATCAAATCTAACCCCCTGAGAAATGAGTTTAACAAACTATTACAAACTGTCTTTCCGCTTCGTTTTGTCAGGCACTCCCGGATAAGGACAATTAAAAAAGTTTCAGAGCAACTTCTGGACGATATTTATTTTATATTACAAGCGTAACACAAACACAAGACTTGTTACTTCGTTATCGAAAAATCCGCGCAGTTAACAAGG